GTCCTACAGGAGGTCAATCGCGAGCCCGAATAGCTCAGTGGTAACGTCTCTGACTGCAGCACTGGGTGACGCGGGTTCGAATCTCAGAAGGGACATGAATTCCTTCAAGGTTGCAAATACACCTTGCTGATGAGTGCCAACTAGCAAGAAACCTAGGTCCAAGGCTTCCTGCCAATTGCCTCCAACTATCTAATATCATCAAAACATTTTCTATTTATTAAGTTAATCAACTTAAAATAAATAATGACCTAATTAGGCAATAAATTCCAACAAAATAAGAATGTGAAATTCAAAAGAGCTGAAGCAAAATTCCAAACGAATTTACTCTATCTAATTTTTCCCACTGAACTGTGACTGACTTAGTTCGTCAAAGAGTGAAGGCTATGAGTAGAAAAAAAACACCAGATCCAAGCAAAACATGTTAAAGAAATCTCAACTATTGTCATTTAATTTATTAGAACTGTCACTAAAGTCGTTATCTTCCATATATTATTGATAACTTTCCTCATATTTTTTATAATCTCCAAACATCTCCCTGTCTGAGTTTTTTTTAAATATAGTTTCGGCATAATGTTTCTCAGCTCTCCTTTCTAGCACTGACAGTGCTAAGCTTATCTGAAAATGATTATGATACCCAATATAATGTCCATATTTCATAGTTTCTCTGATATCACTTTTATTGAGCTTTATCGTGGCTCTATTAACTGTTCAATAAATCCTTCATAAAAAAGGTTGGATAGATTTTTGTTATTCTGGTCTAATTATTGAAATCACAACTGCATGTTCCCGTCTACAAAATCTTATTTTGCCTTGTGAATGCATACTCATCTTTATTATGATAAACCAATGAAGATGTTTTGAATTCTTTAAAGTAACTAGCGAAAGACATTAGACAGCAAGAATACAAAACCAAATTGTGACATTTTGTAACTTGGCTTAGTTTGCAATTACTTCAAGTGATAGTTGTCCTGAACAAACATGATTAATTCAGAATATTCCTTCTATTTTAGAAAGACTTACTGTCTGCTTAGCTAGTTTTTAGCAAATACATATTCTTCGCGGTTTCGGAATGCACAGATTTGTTCTCCTATCTACGTAAGAAAACCTTTCCAATTTTTTTTAAAAAAATCAGTTACTTAAACAAAAACTCATGAGTTTCACTTAATTACTTGCTCAGATGAAGTACCATATTAACTGTATGGAGGCATCCTTTTTTGTCACTAATTTACCGTATTTTTTATGAAAGGAGAATAAGTTAAAATCAACTTTCATATAACAGACTGATTCCCAATCCAACGTCAGGCAATGACCAACTGAAATAGGCATTAATCTCTGTGTTTTCTTATAAAGTGTAAGGAATCCAACGTTGACTTAAAATGACATTTACATTAACTGAAGGGGTAATAAAATAGAATAAACTAATTTATTTGGTGTGCATTTACTTTCATGGGCATTGACTTATCGAGGAAATAATATCACAATAGTTCAGTGATCCAGAACATGTTTTTAAAACAGGTTATTGACTTTACAGATAGGAAGTTGAACGGAAATGCTCATTTTTTTTGCAACTGCATAAAAATGGTCAAGTTCCTCCCTATTATCATTATTACCTCCATCATTATCATTGATTAACCATCCAGTCATAGATTATGGCCAACTGGCTGATAATTTATTGTTCTCCAAATAGCTGACCTTCTAACATAACAGAGAAACATTCACGTGTATCAATATTGTTACATTTTAAGGAGAATAATAATAGTTCAGGTGAAATTAATCTCCGTAGTAGCTGAGGTACTGAAATCTTAATTTATAATTATTTATATATAAATCCATGTATCTTACAATTATGAAATAACTATATAAAATTGAAACTGAATATATTGGTATTCGCCAATGTTTTAAATGTATTTTAGTCATATACTGATATGTGCAAATTTTCGGCCGGATAGATGTAAACGTATAATTTACCACAATAGGTTAGTGATTGTGTGTTTTAGACCAAGAAAGGAGGTCATTAAATTGATGAAGCAATGATTTCGCTACAGATGATAATAGGCTAGGAAATGTAACTTTAACTAACCGTTACCGCTAGATAAGTCACTAGAATGTCACACATAGCCTATAATAATAACTTTAGTAAAAACTTTCTTTAGTTATTATAGTCCTGAAGTCGGTTCTCATCGGCAAAACGAATTATCTGAAGTCACCAAGTTCTGTAAAGTTTTTCATTCGGTATCACGGGGTCTATTGGAATACAAGTGTTAGGAAATGTGTGCATACCAATGGAACTTCAACAGCACTGTCATTTAGTGAAATAGTGTTTCTCTACTTTTTTTCCTTCACGTTCCCCAGTGGAACATAGGGCCTCAAGCTAATGGCTTGAAGTTTTTGTAGCAGTGTTTATTTTACAGGATGGGGCTGCTAGCCTCATGCCCAACCTGTCCTCTTCACCAGCATTATTTCTGGCTTAGCGAGGTATAGGAGTGCGTCGGCCGGGGATCGAACCCCGAACCATGCGCATGGTCGACGAGCATCCTAACCGCTATGCCACCGACGCACGTATTTCTCTACTAAGATCTGTTTATTATTTGTAAGCTTCCTCAATGTGGCAGCAAAGTAGACGATATTTAGTCGTTTTAAAAATATCTACAATTCGGAAGATAAATATTACTGTTTCATTGTAACTATCATACACCTAATTAATGAGTATGTCAAACAAATCAGAGATTTATAACATATGTATTGTATTGTCAGTGAAAAATTAAGTATATTAATTTAGCACTACTATTTCAACCATTAATCACACGCCTGAAAGCCGGTTGAAGTACAACAGTTTGAATTCACGAAATGATCATTTTTAACTTGAACAAACATCTGAAAAATAAAACACAATTTTCCGATTAAGAAGAATCGAAATGGATGCGTGTATATAACTAGAGATATCCTGGTTTTGGCTGTTCATATCAGTGGAATAACTAGAAAGCCCTTAAGTATAATATGAAATGCAACGACATAAAATCACTGTATCCAAATAAAAATGCAAACCGTGAGAAGTTAGTGAGCACGGCTGGTAATATTACTTCGTTTCTATATACACAGTGTACTGAAATTCCTGAACTTATTATTTTGTCGCTTAACATTTTTGAAGAGGATAAATTTGAAAGTTTTTCATATAACAACTGACATTTTCGAAATTGCTTATACTTTCCTAACAAACCAGTATATAATAAGGTATAGTACGTATCTATGCATATATATGTATATAAATATTACAGCTTGTATCTGATGAATGCATTCGCCGATTTGGGTGATTTAAATGTGAAGCTTTCACTGTTCTTTGAGACAACATCTTGAGTACAGCCATCAATATGAAGTGAACTAATTTGAATCCTCCACGAATGATGTAATTGTATCTTCTGATAACCTTCGTCTTGATTGGCTGTTAATTTACATCAGTACTGACCATTTTTATTGACTTCATTCTACAACATTTTTTTTGTATTTCACAAAATCAGTAAACCCTAACGTCTAAATCGTAACAACTGTAATCATTTTAAAAAAATATCTTATAAACGCGGAGAATTCTGTTCTTTGACTTATCACTTGACATAAAAATAATCATTTCCGTTAACAACTTCCTTTTAAATTAAATCTAACCTGCCAAACAGACATAGAAACACCAACTGGAATACAACTCTATTCATTGGATTTTGTTATATTCTGTTATTTCTCCTCCAATCCTCTACGGTAACGCACGAAACACTGGAGTTGACATTTAATTCCTCATTCACAGCAGGCATTTCAATTAAGAAGAAATAGCGTAGTCTAAGTTATTAGCATGTGTATGTGTTGAATAAAATAAAATGGTGTTCGATATTAAAGACCATGAATTAAGAATCACTTGTTTTCAATGGCGCCTAGAAAGTTTCAGGCATATGACTACATATTTTGATTAGAATTCGGTGTAACTGCTGAATAATATCAGTTATCGAGCAGTAACTTCTATTTAATTTTGAAATGAATCGATGGACACTGTACTCCATTTCGCATAAAATGTCTAAAACCATAAATTTTTATTTATTTTGAAATAGACAGTAAGATAAACTGTGACAATTTCAAGCTTTTCACTCCATAACATCTTAAGTCTGATGCTGTTACTTAACATCATTGCTATAACTGAATAAGTTCTGTATAAAGTGCATTTCAACAAATCATATTATTATTCTTTAATATGTCGAGAACAATACTAAAAATGTAAGCCTTATTATTAAATGTAGTCACTAATAACTCGATGAAACTTGGCAAAAAATAAGGTGAAATTTAACAAGCTCTATATTGCATTCCACTTACTTATGTTGTTATTATTCCATTAGGTTCCTAGTGGAACATCGGACTTTAACAGCACACCTGCATTTCACTATGTGCTCTGTAGTCGTCTTTAACTAGCTCCACGATTGCCCACAAGTTATCATTTCCTCTTCACATAATCTCCTTCATGTTACCCCTGGCTCACGCCCAACTCAACTTCTCTCATTTGCCTTCTACTTGATGTAACTTTCACTTATTTTGATTTAACTTTACTGTACAGAATATAATACCTTTCATGGAAATATCATTCTGGACTCAGCTATTGTATAATGTACATGCCTAGTTAACACCCCATCAGTTGTCTTGAACGGAAATGCATATGAATCCGTGTTATAAACTCTTTAGTTTTTATAGCTGTTCACCTTAACTTCTTAGTAGATGGAGTCACCCTGAAATGTCTACTGCATCGATTCAAGGATTTTAACAGTTCAAATACTCAGGTATTGGCCTAATTCATGCAGCAGTTTTCAGCAAATACGGTGTTAACTCCCATTACTCGTCTACAGTCTTTCAAAGAGGTTTAAAAATATTATTTTTATAGAAACAGCCATATTCAGAGTCTAATTTTCACTATTCCTGTAATCTTTTCTTTACCAAGTTATTAAAAGCTGTTTGTTATTATCTTTTCAAAGCAAAACCAACAGGTGTTTGTGGAAGTGACGAATTCTTCTGTGGACATATGCCAGTGGAATCATCCAAAATATCCTATACACATAAAAAGCGTTCAGTGCCTGATATTAACGAAATCAAGTCTTCTCATGTTCAAGAGTTCAACAATCCGATGACAGCAACAACAACAGAGAAACATTTAATGCAACAAAGTTTATTGAAATTTAAATTAATAAAACAAAAGACGCGCAGATCATTTATTCAAAATGATGATTACGGTTACTGTATTTCAAAACAATTACAATGTGATAGTATTGTACACTGTCATAATGCTAGAGATGAATTACCTAGTCTGAGGATGAATCCCACAGATTTACCTGGTCAGCTATTACGTGCACTTGTTGGCGCGCATCTTACGCCAGCTGACTTAAATAACGTTGGATGTACAGTATACAAGCTAAGCAGTAGTACAATCATACAAAGTTATAATAATGAAAAGCACAAAGGGATTCAAATTTCAAACATTGACGAGTCACAAGGCGGAAGTAAGTATTTCTAAATTGTCTTGATTATAAATCAAACCTTTTGCTTTATGTTGACGTTTTTGGTAAAAATGAGGGCTCCTTTAATTTGCCTGCAGTTAAATTTGAAAAACTTTTAATCAGTACACCTTTGTCAAGTATATTAAACCAGGTTGTAGTGCATAAATTGTATTTTCATAACATTTAAAGCAATTAAAGAGAAACCATGAAATAAGTGCATTCAAATTCTGCTGTAAATATTCTCCTACGTCCCTTTTTATAAATGAGGAAAATCTGAGCAACCAGTGTTTTTAATTTCTGTTCTGCTTATAATTTTCAAAATGTTATTTAGTTTCACAAAATCCACTTTTTTGTTGTCTGTGATAGATGGTTGAAGTGGTATTACAGTTCGTGTCTGTAATATTTTCTTAGTTATGAGACTTTACGTTCTCCCCAGATTAAAACAGAAACTTCTGTGATATTTGCATTGACGCACTTGAGTAGTAAGCACCTCAAAAACTTTCAAGTCAATAAACCTCAAACCTGATGATTATTTATCTTCATACTCCCTTGTATTATCAAAATTTGAACTAGGAATAATTTATTGTCTATGAACTTATTTAAGTAACTAGAGAAATAAACCACATGTAATGTGACAAGGTTAGTAATATACTACCAGCCTATAAAAGTGTTGCATGAGTGGCACAGCGGTAGAATGCTCGCCAACTATGCAGGTGGTTCGGGGTTCGATCTCCAGCCGACGCACTCCTTTACCTCACTAACCCAGTAATGATACTGGTAAAGAGGGAAGGTTGGGCATGAGGCTAGCAACCCCATCCCATTAAAATAAACACCACTTCTACCGAAACTTCAAAGCTCTAGCTTGATTGAAGCCTTATGTTCCACTGAGAACGTAAAGGGATAAAATAATAGTAATAATAAAAGTACTTGGAACCACTCATATCAACCAGTGTTGCTTAGATGCAGAATCGAAGTGTTTTAAATATTGCACTACTAATTAGCTTACTGGGAATTGAATTCATCATTTCTTTTGCTCTCCTCGTGTACCAGTAATGTAGTCTAAATATTCTGACATGAAATAACTGTATAATCTGGCAATTAGATTCAATAAAGTCCCGAAAACTAGCAATTTTTAGATGAATACAGAATACATTTATTTTTATGTAATTTGTTTCATTTTCACTGCCTACAACTAAACATAAAGGCTAGAGTAGGGATTAAATACACCTTAATTCAGAACTGAAGATATGTTAATGACAGTCAGTAAAATTTTGAATGATTTTTCTTCTTAGTAGTATGCAAAATACTTAATAATGTAGTCAGATTTTGTGAAACATTTCCTGATATTAACCCCATATGTGTGATATATTCTGCATCTTATCAGCGAAAACTGCTACACTGAAAGGTTAAATAGGACCGATGGTAATTAATATATGTGTAAAACTGGGGCACTGTGGTTTATTAGGTATATCACGCAGTGAAATACTATCATCAGTAGTACTTCCTTACAAAGAAGGAGCCTCGTAAACCTTACGCAGAATTCTTAACAAGACAGGAATAAAAGCAACATTCAAACCCACGAACTCAATTAGAAACATGCTTTGTCGGTTAAACGATCAATCCTGTGAAGCCAATAAAACAAAAAAATTTAGTTCATTTAGTACCCTGCCTGCAATGATTGTCAGGTCAAATACATAGATCAAAGTAGTGGAACACGTGCAGTCAAACTAGCCGAGCATTAAAACCTAGCAGGAAATATAGATTAGTTGAGCCGAATAAGATAAGAAATCTGGAGAATAGTTCAGCCGTAGATAGAACTGCATGCAATTACACACAATACAGCCATACAATAGGATGGATGCGATAGAATGACAGTTTTAAAATATAATGTACCTGGATGGAGGGAGGCATTGTTTATCGAATCAACTGCAAACACGTGTTATAGGAATGATTCAACACCTGTCTGGACAATTCCACTACCCCTACGACGACAAATAGGAAAGAATAAGGAAAACTATAAAACTAAAGTTTCGAAGTTGTGTAATTATAATTGGTGGAATAATGATGAACAATAACTTGTGTTCGAAACGTCATCCAGTAAATAATACTGTTTCACTGTGTGATATATGTAATAAACAAATTAATATGGAATTGACTCTCTTAAATTTGTTAAATTAATTTAACAATAAAATAGCTCATGTCTTCACAAACTTTCCTAATCGGAATCATCATAAGTTAAATATTTGATGATTATGCTTTAAAAGAAAAGGTCAGCAGTTTGCGATTACCATGGTAACACAGGATATGACTTTTCCCATTGTTCAATTATATTTCCCTTTGATTGCGAATTATGTCAAGACTCAGAAATCATTTGGTTTCTTGGCACTAATTTACATTACCTTAGTGTAGAAGTTCCACTGAATGTTAATACTTTCCTTCGACAGTAAACATAAAACCACCTCACACCTTATTTATGCTCTTCAGCTTGATATTTTCTCCATCCACAAATCCACTTTCTGATTATCTTAACTAGAGATAAATTTTCTTATGAGATATTTACGTTTTGAATTCAAGGTGTAAATAGTGTCTGTTGCCATATTTTCTAAATAAATTATGGACAAAACTATAGATAAGTTGATAATCTAAATGATAGGAAGGAGTGTTAAAGATATTATGTAAAGGTATACTGACACCATTACAGGTCAGTCTATCATATTCGAAACATTTCAGCAGTTCGACAGACAGGAACCACCTATAAACTAAATATACAATAGAATTTTATTTTGCCTAATAATTGTTCACATAGGAAATTAACCTGAATACAGCTACTACTCATCCGTGATCTTTTCGAGTTTGTATTTCTGCAATACACTTTTCTACAATCACAAAGTAACACATGAAAAGTGAAATCTATTCAGGTTAGAAGTAGTCATGCCTTAATCCCTATATATTTTCCCGTATCATTTCTACTATCATTAATTGTTTTAACTGACTAGTTTTCTTAGTTAATACTGTCTGTTGATTGTTTTTTTTGTTTTTATAAACACTACGATAACTGTCCCACCCACACCTTGACAAAAGTCATTGGAATAACTTCAGTGTACATCAACAAAACTCCGACCTTCTTAACTAACACTTCATTCTGATTGGATGGTGTGTGACAGTTAGCTAAGTATGACTGTGTTGCCAATTCAAATCTTCTCCTCTTTCACTCCGGTGTACATCCTTATTTAGTTGGGGGGGTGGGGGGCGGGGGAAATCTATTCCAAGTTTATGCACAAAATTATTTTGGTTTTTAATAATAATATTTTTCACTTCTTCTATCCGCCTTCTCGAAAAAAACAAAATGTTATTTTGAAAATCAAGAAAACAGCACATGCTGTTGAATTATCATTGTCACTATCATCAGCATCATCATACATTACAGTGTCAGTTTGACTGTCTGTTGTGAATGTATTCATTCGAATATATTATTTACTGTTAGAAGACATACAAATAACTAATTTTTCAACCAAAAATAATATTAAGGTCATGTACATTCCCTCTACATTTACATACACATGTATTTCTGTCTCAACATTAGGAAATGTAAACAACACAGAAGTTACCTGCCAATTTGGATAGTCATCTTTTGTCTTTTAAATAAAATAAATTGATTTTAGCAAAAAGGTCAGTTTGGTGTTTAGTCTTTTGTTTTGAATTATCACACAACGTAACAACTGTTATAGATGGTCAGTCCTATTTTGAATAGGCTTATTGTTTTATAAAAATAGTTTGTAAATGTGTACATTTCGAAATATATTCACATTCAAGAATGTTGAATGAATTGATCACGGATTGATATCAGTTAGAAAACCATTGAAAATCAGGGAGTACTGGATAGAATTCATGGGCTGGCCATTCAATCGCGTCCCAGTGGCTGAATGGTCTATGAGCTCGCTGGCTTTGTAACTGGAAGGTCCTGGGTTCGAAACCTGGTAGTGAGTGCGTACTGCCGATGATTCCCAAACTAGGACGTAGCAGCTGTCTGGCAGTACTCCCTGGTTTCCAATGGTTCTCCAACTGACACCAATTCGTGGTCAAACTCGTAGAAACAAATCTAATCCTCACCAACCAGCTATTCAAAAAACTGTTGAATGAAGTTAACATAAAATCACCACAGTAACAGGAATAGAAATAGAGAACTGTGGATTTGTGCCCAGTAATAAATTGACTTGTTTACATCACCTAAGTATTAATCAGGTTTGTGAGAAGGCGAACATACCACGTTAGACTGATAAAAGATATGTAGAAGATGTGGGTTTCACAGATGATTAATGTTTCATGCCGCAAAACCTCAAAGATTTACAAGTGGAAACCAACGTGTTGCCAGCCAAGATAACACAGTGAAAATAGAGAAGACAGAGGTGATGAAAATAATCAGTTAACAACAATAATCACTATCAATGGCAGAAATCCAGGGGAAGTCGTATTTTTCACTTATACACCTAGGAAGTATCATTCCAACTACAGGCGACACAGATGAGGATGTCAGCGGCAGCGAAGATCAGATCGGGGAAACAGGACAAATGTCCATTATTCTGGAATCAATGTGGAGGTCTATAGCATTTAGCTCAACGAACAAGATTCGAACTTTTAACATTGGTTTCGACCTAGTGCATTTATATGGTTGAGAATATTGGAGTAAGGGACACCAACAGAATGCATACTTTTATTCACAGCTGGTGGCTGGCAGGCCGAAAAAGATAAGTAGCAAAGCAGCCAAAAACCTACTGCTCAACATACATGCATTAGAAAATGTAGATGGGTTGGATAAATGCTGAAGAGACACTCACTGTGACACCACACGCCAGACTCTTCAATGATATCCAACTGGGGAGCGACCAGACTGGCATCCGACAGTGACATGGAGACGATCATGTGAAGCGTTGGTGGAGCATGTTCAGAGTGATAACAGTACTGAGTGGAACGGAAATGAACCGCTGAAGCTCTGTGTTGAACCCGAGAGGAAGAACAATAATCAGGTCTGAAAATCATTTCACTTACCATTCCTTTCGCTGAATTATCATGTTTAAAAAATAAAATGTTAGTGAAAGGGATGATTTCATCAGGACTGATACCGGCTTACAGAAGCAGTCAAAAGACAAGAAACACTGAACAGCTGTTTCGCCCTACTTTGAAAGTCCTCATAAGTGTGTACCCACAGTACCATAGCGAATGTAGTTCAAGAGGAGGACGTCCTCATCCATACACTGCTTCTATTACCTTTAACTTATAACAAATAGATATATGGCGTCACGTCGTTCCAATTTCATTTCAGTCAATGCACAGTCATATTACTTACCTACCTAGATTCTTGGATCTTGACTTTCTATGTGGAAACCACAAAATCACAAATACTGAGTTAACATTCGAATGAAAAATATGTGCAAACATTAAAGTATAAGTGCTTTACGTTGATTCATACAGATAACAAGAGTTGTAGAAGGCTTATGAGACAATGAAAGATTAATCATCTGCTGTTTACTGTCTCTTTGCTTGTTTGTTCCCCAGATTATTCCGGTTACACTAACAGCTACTTTCAGGAGGAAGTATTTTTGTGTGCATCACTTGGTATTACTTTTTACATACTAGTTACATAAGCATATGCAGATTCATGTTCTCATCTTCTTAATGATGATTAGATCGCCAGTTATACAAGTAAAAATGATAATGCAGTTTTCATTGGAAACTGCTCATGTGAGTCTACACTTTTCAAAAATAAATAGATAAAAGATGCGTGCCAATGTAGAAAAAAGCTAACAAAATTAATAGACACCAATTAGCCTCACACTTATACTACCAGAGTGGTCTAAACTGCAGGTTTTTAGCGTGATAATAAACGTAAATCTCCAAGACTGCTTTAACTAAGTTAATTTTAAACCAGATTACTTTATATCCTATTCCACTGTATTGCGGAAATAAAATGATTGAAATAATTGCTTTTAGATTGTAATAAATAATACATAAGTAAGGTATTATTTTTCAGTCAGTGATAAAACTTATTTTATGTACCTGACCAGAGAGTCTTTGAATCGACAAGCAGATAGTAACCACGTTGCTGTATCATCCCAGGTATGACAATCAAATGGTTACGTTACTGCTGAGCACCGTGGTATAACATACTGATATTAGAAGTTTCATGGAATCAATCTCTCGAAAGGCACCCAGTTGATAAGTATTGAGAATGAATTGCAACCATAATTTTGACTGAAAAATACTCGGCTGCTAAAACTTACATATTCACATCCTTAGGATCATTCTATATTCAATCTTTCTTGAACCTCTCTTTCTCTGTATGCTACATGGAGAGTGGCAACTCGAATGAACTGTCGTCAAGATTTGACAGAGTAGTTCTAAAATATTCGAATTAAATTAACAAAGAAATTAGGTAATTGGCACAATCATCGTGTTTTCACTCTCCGTTGTCTGCAACAGAATGCATATCCTAAATCCGTAGCTGTCGAGTCACCTGACAACTCCAGTAGGCCGAATAAAGCAGCTCAATCTTCAAAAAGAAGACAAAGCAATAAGTTCGACTGGGTGCTTCAACTAAACTCTAATCCTAAACACCAAAATTTTGAAAATACGTCTAATCATAAAATTCTAGATACTAACAGTTTGAACAGACATGAAGGTGTGATGTTAGCTGATACATAGCAAAAATCCTGATTAATAAATAAAAATGGATATGTATCACTAATTAATAATACTTGGTCAAATTCCTGACTGTCTATATCTTCCTATGGAGACGTTAAGAAATGTTTTACAATTGTTTACACACACACGCATGCACACTCTGTTTAAAGTATTTAACAAAGGTAGACCAATATTTGTAAGTTCGAGGTCAAATTTTGATCACAGCTCATACAATTTTGTTTATTATACTTGTTAATACTTGTGTTTATGAATCATGATTGGACAAAGTTTTTAAAAACAAAAGATGTGCCTTTTATATATAAAACCTCTCTTATGTTAATTTTGATTAATTTCCCTGAAGAAGTTCGGACCAGATTGCCGAACGAAACGTTGGAATTACTTATTTCAATATCACTGAGATTTTACAAATATAATTTTTTACAAATGGACACTTAGACAGTTTTTTACCGGTGAAACACACCACACAGATTACTGTTTAACAGACAGTTTACATAAATCGAAAACACACAAAAATTCCAACTACGGGTCTATTCAGTTTTCCGCGTATCTACGGCTACATGACCTTGGTAACACCTTTTAATATTTTAATTTCACACTACTTACTTAGTTTACAGTAGATGGTTTCATTTTGTTACTTTCGTTTACTTTTCAGGTAACAAAACTAATTTATCCCGTTTTATTTCAAATAATCCAACAGCTTCCAGTACACTAATAATTGGTTGTGTTGTGTTGTTTTCATTTATCATTATCGTTCTGGGATGCTCATGTTATCAGTGTTGTTATCGTAGAAAATTAAGAACAATACAAGGTTCCAACAAATCAATAAACTATTGGTCGTCTTCTTCGTCTACGAAAGTGACTGGAATTCAATACTTTTCCGAAGAACAGATTAAAACTAGCTTGATTCACGCAGAGAACAACACAGAGGAAAGTAAAGAATCCCAGTTAAACAAAACAACAGAAAAATATATGATAGGTCGTAGTGCAACTGACGGTACTTTAAGTACTCTGGCTGAATCATATCCAGGATCCAATAGGAATGAAAAACCTCATATTAATAACTTGGATGTGAATAAATCTTCCGTCTACTTAGAAAGACGACCAACAATTTCTCAGTCAATTAGCAAAACTTCTCTTCAATCAAGCGACCAAAATTACAGCAATAATAGTAACAATAACAATAATAATAATAGCAGCACAAAAAGTGTACATTTTGTTGTTCCCAACGTACCATCACAAAATTCTAACCAATTACATTATTATTACAACACACTTAATAATATGCAGCCAGCATATTTCACCTCTATGAATCCACAGTCATTCGAGTATTGTGAAATGGTTCCTCTCATAAGCCAACAAAAACAACAGCAGATCCAGATAAATTGGCAAACGAATTCTCAACAGTTTATTGGTTATCCAACAATGGATGAAGGTAAGCTGATACAAATATAAATTGTTCACAAAAGCTTTTCAGTTAACTTCAAGAGTTTTTATAATTTGATTCATTGCAGATGCTTAAGAAATTATTCATAAGCCATTGTGGTCTACTAAATATGAAATCATTAAAAATGTGAATTGGTAATAGCAAAGTTAGATTTCACCAATAACAATATTGTTTCATTGATATAAGAATAAAACTTCGGCACTGTGGTCGAGTGTAATTCCATAATATGTAAATTTTATTTTGATAGAGTCTCACAGTGTTATACAGTAATATTTAATAATGCTTATCACAATGCTGCATGCCAAGTAATCCACAACGGGAAACTTACGGAATCCTTTGAAGTGAGGACAGGAGTAAGACAAGGCTGCCTACTATCGCCAATGATTTTCCTGATTGCAGTAGACTGGATAATGCGACAAACAGCGGGCAATGAGGAAACAGGCATAAAATGGACTCAAACAAAAAGAGACCTCGATGATCTGGACTTCGCCGATGATATATGTCTGATTTCCCACAAACTGGAAGATATGCAAGCGAAAAGCAACAAGTTGGCAGGAGAAGCATCCAGAGAAGATAGGACTTCAGCTGAACGTAGAGAAGAGAGACGTAATGAAGATTCCTGGGCAACACCACCAACAGCAACAACAACAACAGACAACAATCAGCATAAGTGGGAGGAACCTGAAAGAAACAACCTCTTTCACCTACCTGGGAAGCATCGTTCAAACTACAGGCGGAACTGACGAGGATATCAAAACAAGAATCGGACAAGCAAGACAAGCTTTCAATACTCTCAAGTCTCTGTGGAGGTCAACAGCACTCAGCATGAAATTGAAAATAATATTCGAATTTTCAACTCCATTGTGAAGTCAGTGCTACTATACGGATCAGAGACTTGGCCAGCGCGTCATAAAGAGCATCTCAAACAAACTACAGACCTTCATTAACAGTTGTCTTCGCTCAATACTCAAGATCAGATGGCCAGCCAGAAAAGATCAGCAACAGGGTGAGATCTCTGGGAGCGAACCAACCAGGAACCGATTGTGAAACAAATAGGCAGGAAGAAATGGAGATGTATTGATTGGCCATACTCTGAGAAGAGAAACCATCAAGTAACATCACTAGACAAGCCATTGCTCGAGTGGAATCCGAAAGGGAAGCAGCGAGTTGGTCGTCGGTGCAAGGGTGACTTGGAGGAGGTCATGTGAAGAGGAGATGAAAGTGTGTGGGAAGACTTGGAGCCAGGTGAAGACTCTAGCAGAGAACCGAACGCAATGTAGAGGCAGGGCTGAGTCCCTATGTTCTTCTAGGAATTAAAGGAAACAATAAAAACAACAATACAATTAAGTCAAACCACGACGTAACATTATCTTCCCAGTTCTCAGCTTTATTCAGTTTTTATCAAAGTCTACTGGGTTCTTAATTTCATTTCATTTCAGAAAGTAATCCAACGAATCTTTGTGTAAACTAAGTGAAGACATTTCACTGAGCACAATATTGACATGCAAGCACTACTTAGAAGCGATTCAGGTTGCTAAATATCATGTATACGACCAAAAGTCAAACTGCTGAAGAAAACCAGAATTGATTAAATAAATTGAGAATCACCATTAAAGTTAAGGTGATGTACGCATGAACTTATACTACTAATAAAGACTATAGAATCATCGATTTCACGACCAATTATCTAACTAATATATATATCCATAAGTAGTACGAAGGCTTCCATACAAACAGTTTATATAGACTCTTTTAGAGAAGTAAAATAGCAAAACATAAAATAGTGAAAAATGCCCTGTGAACATCGTCTGACTTTCGCTGCTCAGAAGCCTATTAGCTAATGGTGAAATTCAAAAGAAGGAGTAAATAGTTAGACCGCCCGTGGAAATACTAGCATAAGTGCTTGTGTATCCGTAAGACGTCATAATCAATCGGAGGTGAGAAGTAAGGACTGCTCTTCTAGCGCCACTCAATTACGCAACAGTTAATTACCATATACGTTGATCTGGTCATCCTTAGCTTGTCTCCAAATTTTATATTAATTATAAAACATCACCCATTAGGCGTAAAGGTGAGAAGTTGTCCTTCAGTCACCTCAGCCAATGAAGGTTTACAGGCTCACCAAACTACTTTCTACGCTAAAATTTCTACCCCTACTCTCTGCAAAGTGAAAATAATGTTTTTATTGCAAGTATGTGATAGCTTGATCAGACGCCGGAAATCTATCCTATACATAGTGCCCTGACCTATGTAAGAATCCTGGTGTGTAGTTACTGTCACAGTAACAGCGAAAGAAAATAAAGCTTTTATGTGTAAATCGAGATGTTACCAGTCATATACTTTTTGTCAGTCAGTGGGACATCAAAATCACTGATGTCATCAAATAAGCTCAGTCGCTTTGCATCCTATCACCTCGTCTGTAAATACTTCAGATCAACCAACCATAAGATGACAACTTGGGTGGTCATAAATCTCCCCCTTAAACTCTCAAATTACCACTGTCCACTGAATTTCACCATTAGCTAATAGGCTTCTGAGCAGCGAAAGTCAGACGATGTTCACAGGGCATTTTTCACTATTTTATGTTTTGCTATTTTACTTCTCTAAAAGAGTCTATATAAACTGTTTGTATGGAAGCCTTCGTACTACTTATGGATATATATATTAGTTAGATACTTGGTCGTGAAATCGATGATTCTATAGTCTTTATTAGTAGTATAAGTTCATGCGTACATCACCTTAACTCTAATGGTGATTCTCAATTTATTTAATCAATTCTGGTTTTCTTCAGCAGTTTGACTTTTGGTCGTATACATGATATTTAGCAACCTGAATCGCTTCTAAGTAGTGCTTGCATGTCAATATTGTGCTCAGTGAAATGTCTTCACTTAGTTTACACAAAGATTCGTTGGATTACTTTCTGAAATGAAATGAAATTAAGAACCCAGTAGACTTTGATAAAAACTGAATAAAGCTGAGAACTGGGAAGATAATGTTACGTCGTGGTTTGACTTAATTGTATTGTTGTTTTTATTGTTTCCTTTAATTCCTAGAGGAACATAGGGACTCAGCCCTGCCTCTACATTGCGTTCGGTTCTCTGCTAGAGTCTTCACCTGGCTCCAAGTCTTCCCACACACTTTCATCTCCTCTACACATGACCTCCTCCAAGTCACCCTTGCACCGACGACCAACTCGCTGCTTCCCTTTCGGATTCCACTCGAGCAATGGCTTGTCTAGTGATGTTACTTGATGGTTTCTCTTCTCAGAGTATGGCCAATCAATACATCTCCATTTCTTCCTGCCTATTTGTTTCACAATCGGTTCCTGGTTGGTTCGCTCCCAGAGATCTCACCCTGTTGCTGATCTTTTCTGGCTGGCCATCTGATCTTGAGTATTGAGCGAAGACAACTGTTAATGAAGGTCTGTAGTTTGTTTGAGATGCTCTTTATGACGCGCTGGCCAAGTCTCTGATCCGTATAGTAGCACTGACTTCACATTGGAGTTGAAAATCCTGATCTTATTTTTGATGTGGAGTACTGTTGAACTCCACAGAGACTTGAGAGTATTGAAAGCTTGTCTTGCTTTTCAGATAGGCTTTGATATTCTCGTCAGTTCCGCCTGTAGTTTGAACGATGCTTCCAGGCAGGTAAAAGAGGTTGTTTCTTTTAGGTTCCTTCCAGTTATGCTGACTGTTGTCTGTTGTTGTTGTTGTTGTGGACAACAATACTCCAAGGAAATCAGAAATCCCGAATTCGATCAAGCTACTGAAGTCCGGGAAAGCAGCAGGGCCAGTCGGAATACCCCCGGAAGCACTGAAAGCGGACCCAGAGACGACAGCAGATATGCTGACTGCACTATTGCGAAAAGTCTGGAAGGAGGGAAAAGTGCTTACTGACAGGAGAAAAGGTTACCTCGATAAACTACCAAAGAAGGGCGACTTAGGCCTCACTCTGCAAGAACTGGCGAGGAATCATGCTCCTGTCGACGCCAAATAAAATCCTGAGTCGCATCATCCTGGAGAGAAAAAAGGACGCACTGGATGCAGAATTCCGACCAGAACAAGCTGGATTCAGGAAAGGCAAATCATGTTTTGACCAAATTGCAACTCTACGCAACATCATCGAACAAAGCATTGAATGGCAATCAAACCTCTACCTCAACTTTATAGACTTTGAGAAGGCCTTCGAAAGCGTAGATCGCGAAGTAATTTGGAAACTACTCGAGTCCTACGGCATACCCCAAATATTCATCAACCTTATTCAACAGCTGTACGACAACGGCACATGTCAAGTGATCCACAACGGAAAACTCAGCGAGGCGTTTGGAGTAAACACCAATGATATTCCTAATTATGGTGGACTGGATTATGCGTCAGACAGTGGGAAACGAGAAGACAGGGATATCCTGAACCGACGTGAAGAACCTAGAAGACCTGGATTTCGCGCGTGGATGATTTATGTTTGAAGTCACACAAAATCGAAGACTTACAAGCGAAAACCGACAAACTGGTCAAGGAAGCAGCAAAGACAGGACACCAGGTGAACATAGACAAGACGGAGGTTATGAAAATAACCAAGCAACGACAACAACAACAGCAGCAACATCCAGCGCCAACCACCATCAACGGGAGGGATTTGAAAGAGGTTACTTCATTCACTTATCTAGGGAGCATTGTCTCAACTACAGCAGGAACGGACGAGGATGTCAAATCGAGAATCGGGAAGGCGAGAAACACATTCATCAACCTGAAACCAATCTGGAAATCTTCGTCACTCAGCCTGCATCAACAACAAATTTCGGATTTTCAATACAAACGTCAAGTCAGTTTTGCTATACGGATCAGAAACTTGGCAAGTCACCAAGAATATTTCCAACAGGTTGCAGACCTTTATCAACAGCTGTCTTCGTTCTTTACTGAAGATCAGATGGCCGGAAAGAATCACCAATAAGAAACTATGGGAACAAACAAAACAAGAACCAATCGCTC